TTCCTTCCTTCCTTCCTTCCTTCCTTCCTTCCTTCCTTCCTTCCTTCCTTCCTTCCTTCCTTCCTTCCATCCATCCATCCATCCATCCATCCATCCTGATTCACAGAACACAGTACAGGTAGCCTAAAATAGTTGTTTTGCCTCGTTTTTGGAAGACGAGCTCCAATTTGAAACGCTCACCTGCTTGGACTAAACTCCCACAATGGCTTAACCTGCCCCTGAAACCAAGTCAATTTTCTGCACGATATCCTGAACTCGTTTTTAAATGATTTGATTTATTTAAAAAATAAATTTGTTTTTAAAAAAATTAAAACATAAACAAAACTTGTTAAGTCTACATCACAGTAAACAATGGTGGAAAACTCTGGCGTGGTTATAATAGAAGAGCCGTCTGACACCTATATTCATATTTTATCAGCGTCAGCGGTGTGATTTTTATCGCTTTTTTTTAAAATGCTAGTCAGGGAAGCATTAAACGCACCCCAAATCAGTTGATGGATAAAACCATCCCAACGAAGCCACCGAGCAAACAACCCCCCGATCAAAACTAAACTTGGGCACCTACAAATACAGCCACGAGGTTTGGAACCAACCTGGTTAAGAGTCTCACGGCCGTGCCCAAGGGGAAAAGCAGATTTAATCCCCCAATTTCCAATTCCATCTCCCCTTCTTCCTGTGACGATTATCTATTTCTTTTCTGTCCCTTTGACCTCACTAACCTTTTCTGTCCTTAGTTTAATTCCGTCTCCATCGATGCTTCTAAAAAACAACCCCCCATCCCCCCCATTACTTTCCCCTATGGAGAATTTTCTTCTTCCGGTGAGCGGGTCCAGCCTCTGTCATTCATTGCAGCAACTTTAGAAAACAAGACAATTGCAGGTTCTCCACCCTCCCGGGGATATTTTATTCTCCTTCCCTGTTTGCCATTCAGCTCAATTAAAAACAGGGCCTAAACAGGAGATCATTCCACTTCGGTGCCCCTCTGCCACACGCAGCAAAGGGTCTGGCCCGGCCCGGCCCGCCTTTCCCACTACAAAATGCGCAAAACTTTACGATGCGTTGGAGGCAGAAGTTTTATTTTCAGTTTGAAAAAAACACCGCCTTGGGACAGAAGGCGAGCAATTCAGATTAAAGTGCAGCAGGAGGAGAAGTCTTCTGCTGAGTATCCAATAAGAGGCTTTTTCCCCCCTCTCGAAAATTAGCACAAATAAATCCTACTGTAAGACTGCACAGGCCTCTCTAAGCAGCTTAACCTGGCAAATGTTCCTCCCTGGCTCCATTTTATCCTCACAACAACCCTGCAAGGCAGGTTAGGCCGAGATGTTAGAGACTGGCTTGGGGGGGGGGGTCAGTGCCAAACCTAGTGGGCAATAATTCACTATTTCTGCCATTTGCTCCCACATCTTCTACTTCGTCCTCACAGCAAGCAGCAGCTGCATTTCTAACTCGAAAGAGCAAGATTTTAAACTTCGGATTTGCTAATTTCCCAAAATATCCAAAGCACATTTCTGGCAACGAAAGCGAATCCCATTTGGAAGCTCCGTGTCTGAATTTTAATTATTACATGCCAGCTTAAGGGACCAGATTTGAGTTTTCTCCCTGAAAGAAAAACAAATGGAATATCTGCTCTAGGTGCAAAGAAGACACCAGAGGGGCCTTTTTCAAACACTTACACTCTGCTCCCTACAAAATGCACCCCACTTTTAAGGGGGGAGCCCCACGGGCACTGATGCTGGCAGAGCGCCCTCCCCAGCAAAATACGTTGTGGTTGTGTTTCTCCTGGGCCCCCTGCCAACAGTCCATTCATGCTGGCCGTGGGCAACGGCTGGGTAAAATTCCACGTCTACTTTCAAATTACAGGAACGAGGGGTGTGCAAACCTTAGCCACCTGAGCTCGATTTCCAAGTGCAAAAAGATCTGGCTTTGCACAATAACTGAGCGCTAGCAAGTTATCCAGAGCGATAGTTCGGAAAAACCAGGAATTTTCCCCAACTCCCTTTCCGGGCATCTAACCCTAAAGCTAAGCAACTCAGAAGACAGCCTGGCGTGGGCTGGCAGGAGGGATGGGAATTGTAGTCCAGGGCATCTGGGAGGCCCCAGGCTGAAGGAGGCCACTAGCATGCCAGGCTGGCAATTCGCACCCGTGGTTAACTAGGTCAGCGAAAGGCCCAGGGGTGCGTTGGCACCAGATGCTAAGTTTGAGACAGCAAAGCCCGGGCCAGTTTTATTGGAGGGTTGATGGTTAAACGGGCTGCAGAACCCGAAGATGGGGGGATGCAGGAACTTGGTTAAGTGTGTTCGTGTGAACGGAGCTACTGGGGGCTCCTTGCGTGTATCCTGGGGGGATCCCAGGGGCCCGGCTCGGTCCGTGGGAAATGAACCCGGGCGCCCGGCTGAGTAGCCAGAGGGAAGCAATTCAAGAGACTGGTCCTCAGCGAGGCGGATGCCTCGGCCCCGGTCTCAGAGCTAAAAGCCCGCTCTGCCTCTCGCTCC